TTCTGTTCCTTGGGTACTATTGAGTTCTATACCACTTCAAGTTAAGTTCAATCCTACTTCTCAACCTATTCAAGCTCACACTGTTGTTTAGTTTCTTCCATGTACTAGTGATAGAGGTCAGCCACCTAGACCAAATTTTGTTCCTAGTGGTGCAGCTGGATGTGGCAGAGGTCGTTCTTAGTTTCTAGACCTGTCTGTCAAATTTGTCTCAAAGTTGGTCATATGACTGGTAGAAGCCATTACAGGGTTTGATTACAACTATACTTCGGCTACTTCTTCTGTCACTAATCCCTAAGCTTATGTAGTATCTAATGTACATATTGCTGATCTTGCTTCTTTTGGTTCTTATTCTTCAAAAGTATACTACATTGCTTATTATTCTGATGCTAATGACTTTGTGCATGCTCATGTAGTCTCATATTGTAATGGTTTATTGGTAAATCCAAAATGTATTTACACCTTATAATGACTCATAATTACCTAGAATCCTACAAGTAATTAACATGATAAAAAACTTGTTATCTATTTCGTAAGTCTCAAAAGATATTTTTACATAGAAGATCAAAGAGCACAATAAATCAGATGATGTGTCATGCCCTAAAAATAGAGGGTGACTGGCATGGGTGCGAACTACATCATGCATTCCCATAAGTCTTAAAATGAAAATTCATTTCATTTTCTAAAAAAAAAATATGATCATATAGAAATTCTAACACTTTTAACATTACAACATTTTTGTTATTTAGGAACAATTTAAAAATGTTGCCTAAAGTTATAAGCAATAGTTTTCAAGTGTTTCCAACTTAAGTGTTGCCTATTACTTTAGGTAACAGTTTTCTTACCTTTGGCCACAGCGTTTGTAAAACTGTTGCCTAAAACTATGAGAATAGGCAATAATTTTCGTGAGCCTATTACAATACTTTTCAAATGTTGCTTATCACATAAAATAGGCAACATTTAAGAATTGTTGCGAAATAGTTTAAATAGTCAAAATTTAATATTTCCTTCCTCCTTTTAGATTCAAACCCAGAACCTATTAAAAAAAAATAGGTGTCTCAAACCACTCTTCTAACTTGACTTTTTGATATTATAATGCAAAATATATATATATATATATATACTTGTTAAATTAATTTTTTAATTTATCCAAATAATGAATTGAAAAATTAAGAGAATAAATAAATAAATTATCTAAAAAAATTATAAAAATAAATTAAAAATAAATTTTTATATTTAGAAAAACAACAAGCAACAGTTTTTAAATATTGTCATAAAGAGAAATTATAGGCAACGTTTACATTTTTGTTGCCTATTTGAATAGGGAATATTTTTAAAATGTTAATTTTTGTGTTGCCTATTCAAAAATTATTGCAACACTTGAAAAATGTTGCGTATTCTATTTTAGGAAATAGTTTCAAACGTTGCCAAAACTATGTTGCTTAAAATATGAAAACAATAGCAACATACGGAAAATGTTGCTAATACCCATATTAGGCAACACTTTTAAAATTGTTGCAAAAAAAAAACTGTTGCCTAAAGCAAAAATTGTTGTAGTGTAATATTAATTGTCATAACATGACTTCAATATTCTGTAAAAATTTTGGCAGAATCTCCCTTGTAAATAAGATCTCTCGAAAATTCTACAATAAAATCTTTTACAAAACATAGTATCAATTAGGAACTTAGCTCCTTCCAACTAGCAACAATATATATAAATCAAAATAAAATCCTAACAACAATCTATGTGGAGTACTAATCTTTCTTTTAAATCAAAACGACATATGACTTTTATATTTACATCAAAAGTAATAGTACCAACCAAAATTTTCACCCAATGTAGTTATATTATCTTTTAGAGGTTAATAGTGGGATTAGTATCAACTAACAACTCTGAGACCAAAACAAGTTTTTCAGTAAATAGCATTCCCAAAGCAAAATTTTAAAAATTTAAATTAACAAACTTTAATAATGGTGTAAATTAATTAAAAATAATTCAACAAAAAAAAATTGTAGGTCTGTAAGTTGTAACTATAATTGTAAAATGAAAGTAAATTGAAAGCAATTAATTTTATCATGTTTAAAGAAAATAATTTATTCATACATAAATTAGAGTGATATAATTAATAGCCAAAATTATGTAAATTTTGAAAACACATATTAGTCAACATTTAGAATTTTAAGAACTCAATAGAACGGGTAACAAATATGGACACACAATCCAGGAGGGTAAATAATCAAACACGGCTTATGCCATGAAAACAAATGTGGACACACAGTTTACAAGGATAAGTAACCAAACGCAGCTGAAACTACAAAAAACAAATATGGACACATAGTTCATGAGAGTAATACTGATCAAATGCGACTCAAGCCATGGAATCAAATGTGGGTACAAAGCCTATGAATACCAAATGTGAGAACAAAACTCACGAGATAAACTAGCTAATATTTAACCATAGTGCGCTTTGGGCTAACAAAACTGCCATTAGTAGTAGTGTTTTGTTTAGAGTCCTCTTAAAAATCACGTTTCAAACATGCGAGAAGAATAATTATTTTTGAAATACAATCTGCATTTTCAATACCAAACTTGCATGAATCATTTCAAATTTCAATGTGGTACTTGTCAAAAATAATATTTCATAAATAATATATAAACTTGCGTTAATTGAATAACTAAGAATTTTCAGAGATTTATAAATAATTAATTTCGTAATCTTTAAAAATATTTCTTGAGGAAATAAATGCACATATCATCATTTAATTATCCATCATTAATATTCTAAAAGTTCTAAAACTAACGTAATTCCTAAGAGTAAAATATTTCAATAAAAATTTATTAAAAATGAAAATAAAAATAAGTTAAAAGAATGCTATTCACTTACTTGTTGAAGTTTCGAATTCCCAAAATATTTTTTCTTCAATTTTTATTGGGATCCTCTTGTTCCACACGTCCTGTAAAGATATTAGTAAATAAAATTTAATAAATCATCTTTTAATTTACAAAGACTTCGTTCTACTCCTAATATAATTTTCATTAACCATCATCATTTAAAATTCAAAATAAAAATTCATGCTTTAAGATTATTTCAAACATTCCAATAAGCATCTCATTAATGCTAATATTTAAGTAAAATATCAAACCTATCATCTTCCAACCTTTCCTTAATAATTTTCTTAACATAAATCAATCCAAATAAGATATATCTAGCTCTAAAATTATAGCTCATATACGTAGATGTGTCTGTGTACATGTATATAGTATTAGCAAGCTTTAAAATAGGTTTCTATCTCAAATTTGAATATTCTCCCCCTGCAACAGCACAGCAATAGCAGTAACAGAGGCATAGATTTTGCAACTTCAACAATTAATCACATACGTGCAGATTAAGAGAAAAATGAAACATGAAGATCCCTCACCTTATCAACGCCACAGGCTGAGAGAAAAACAAAACAGAGATGTTGGGGTTTATGGCTGAACAGGGGAGAGGATAAACAGCACTGTCACCATGCACAGCAAAGGAAAGAAGCCTAACTCCACAACACCAATACTAGCTCATAGCAACAGCCCCACCCTAGTTTTGATGCTTTGTGTTTTCTCAACCTAGAACGACACGGACGGCACAGCAAAAAAAAAAAAAAAAAAAAGACAACAGAAACAGGAGCACGGACTAGTAAAGCAAACCACGAAGCTTACAGTTGAGCTGGGAAAGGAAGGACTTGTGAGTAGAACCCTCTAGCTCCGACGACTTGGTCCTTCACTCCAGTTGCAACTCGAACATGGATAACGCAGGAAAACAACAGACCGAGAAGGCAGAAAAAAACAGAGCCGGAAGACATGAGGGTGAACTTGAACGACGTTGAGCAGTGGCGAGCTTCCTCTGATGTTGGTGGCAGCAAGGAACGAAGAAAGAAGAGATGGTCGGTAATGGTAGAAGATTGGAGAGCACTCTCGAATTCTCTCTCTTTCAGTACACTGACTGAGTAAGGTAGAGAAAGGATAATTTAATCTGATGGGGGAGAGGGTAGAATGGTAGTTTCATAAAGCTAAAATTACAAAAATAAACCCCCTCCATTTGCTTCAGCAGATTCGAAACTTGGAGCTTTTACATAAATCGTTACATAATAACCACTAAACCAAGTGTTCTCGTTGCTATACATGTTCACAAAATTAATATAATTATTATTAAAACACCAACTTATATATATAGTTATTATTATTATTATTATTTTTCCTGGGCTATTACATGATGGGAAGCCAAAATTGAGAAACAAAGGGAGTAAGAGACCAAATAGAAGATTTACCAAAACCAGATAGTGAAATTAGCTACCGGTAAATTCTCCTCTCGCATCCGAAGGGTGATTTTCATAAGACTTTCAGACATGATGAAAAGTTTTCAGGGTGAAAAAAACACTAAATCCAAGAGCCTGAAGCTGCCGAGTTTAGTTTTAAAATTTATGAAACTGATTTTTTAAAAAATTAAGTATCTAAACAGAAAATACATTACAGCAGTATCTGATCGACTGTTTTCCTCTCTTCAATTTGTAAAAAGAGAATTACATACAGGTCTTACAAAAAAATTAATTATTATAAAGTCTATTGACAATTAAACTAGGGCTATTGACAACACAATTAGTTGTCAATCACCTTAGTTTAGATATTAATGGGCTTTATAGTAATTAATTTTTTTGAGTGGGACTACAATGTAATTTTTTCATTTATAAACTCCAATTTTTTAAACTTAATCCAAATACACCTAAAAAAAAGAAGACTTGACCTCACACCCACAACTTCATATATATTCATATACATTTACCAATACATGTGTGTGTATATATATATATATATATTCATATTAAAATTGCACGCCAGTTTCCATTTTTCCTTTCCAAAATGAAAGTTCTGCGAAGACTCATTTGGACGACGACCAAGACTTGGGACTGAGTCTTATATATGCCCTGGCTTGGAGATTCACATACAAAACACACACATGCACCTCGTAGATTTTGCAGATGATCAGAGACTGAAGACTAAACAAAAGACTTATTGGCCTCAACATTATTTATTTCATCCTTCAGGTTCCTGTCTTCTCCTTTGCTCTGTTTTTTCAGATCTATTCAATGAAATCATTATTTTTATGCTTAGATCTGTGAAATCATTATTCTTCTTCCGTTTAACCTTCGCATAGTTTCTTGCGGGAACAGAGTCTTAAGTGCACTGCCTGTTGAAGTTTCGCTCATTTTGTTTCCTAATTCTTAATTAAGTCAAATTGATTTCATTCTGTTTTGCCTTCGGAACTGTGTGAGGATGGCTCCGCCGTAGATTTTTTTTTTAAATTTTATTAATTTTAAATTATTCATTTAAATATTGATAAAAGTATTTAAACTTTTTAAAATTGGGGGGAGATTAGACAAGTAGATTATAAAGGTAAAATAGTAATTTTAAAATTTTTAACATAATTACAAATAAAAAGCTAAGTATTTTAGAATATTTAACAAAATATTCCTTACGGTATTAATAATTAGATTAAAGTGTAGATGTTGAAATAGATAGGAAAGCAAAACGGAAGAGACGTTATTATATTATATTTATTTTTTTAAAATGTTATTGAGATTTTTTTTTTGGGTTAAACTTATTGAGACTTTTAAGTTTTAACATGCATGTGTCACCTTCAGCAGTTTGTTAAAAAATAGTTTATTTTTTATTCACGTCATACATTAATATCAACATGGCCGTAGATGGAGATTAGTACTGGTAATTCTGATGGGCCGACTTTATTTAACAGAGATTTAAATATGATCATATTTAAAAAAAAAACCATATAGTACCTAACACAAGAGCTTTTGATATGATCCAAGTACCTAAATTATTAAATATTATTTTATTTTTTATTTTTAGCCAATTTATATTGTTATCTTAAAAATTATACTTTTCAATTTTATCTTATTTTAATTTTAACTTATTAATTACAAAAAATAATTTGAATTTTTACACTAATTAGTCATTCGAGTTGGCTTGAGTTGGAGTTCTTTCGGGCTCATTTGAGCTGCTGAATAAATTCAAAATAAAGAAAATTTTATAAACTCTTAAACCTGACCTTAATATTTTTTCAAGCTAGCCCAAACTACTAGCTCTAATGGAGATACATGACACATGAATTTAAATATAGAAGAATATGTTTTAAAGTGAATAATAAAAATAGAAGGATACGGGTGGTACTTGGATTCACCGTTAAAATGAAATTACAATAATGGATTGATCGTCAATGGTTGGTCTGAATATAAAAATAAATAAATTGCAATCCACATTGCACGGTAATTACTGATAACATTATATTATATAAAATAAATGTCTAAAAAGTAAAAAAGTTAAAACACAATAAAGTAATGAAAACTGAAAAGCAACATCACATGGTTCTGTCCTTTCATTCTTCATTTTGCTTCTCATTTTTTCTCCATTTTCTCTCTCCGAAATTTGTAGCAGCCTGCTTAACTTCATCTTATTTCACTTCCAAATCCAACAAATCTTTCCACATTACGTCATCCTTCAGGTTTCTACTTTCTTCCTTGCTCCGTTTTAGATTTATTCTGTGAACTCAATGATTTGGATCTGTGAGATTTCGCTTTTTCTTTTTCTTTTTCTTTTTTCAAACATCCAACGTCAACGAGAAAGAATATATATACATAGATTCTGCTTCCATTTAATTGAAGTTTTCTTCCTTCTATGTTTATTATCTCTCTTTTATGCCTGGATGCTGATGAATGTATTTGTAATTTGCATGGTTGAGCTTTCAAATTGTTGTTATGGCACTTGAAGCTCATGGAGTTGACTACCCTTCAAGCTCATCTGGTTCGAGTAGGAGATGGAAGTATCATGTGTTCTTGAGTTTTCGAGGAGAAGACACTCGTAGAAGATTTACAGATCACTTGTTTTGTGCTTTACAACGCACGGGAATTAAAGCTTTCAGGGATGACGAAGAACTTGAGAGGGGACATGTTATTAAACCAAGTCTGCTCCAAGCAATTGAAGAATCTCTTTCTGCAATTGTTGTTATCTCTCCAAATTATGCTTCTTCAACCTGGTGCTTAGAAGAGCTCTCAAAGATTCTTCATTTTAAGAAAAAGTCAGGTCTGCATGTATTTCCAATCTTTTATGATGTGGATCCGTCTGATGTTCGACATCAGAGAGGAAGTTTTGCAAAAGCATTTAAAAAGCCTGAAGAAAAACTTCCAGAAGATAAGACGAAGGTGCAAAATTGGAGGGGTGATTTGGAAGAAGTTGCTAACTTATCTGGTTGGCACTCTGATAATTGGTAATTTTTTGAACTTTCAATAACTATCATGAATATTTTTTAAATAATATTAAAGGTGTGGATGTGAAGAATATTTGCTTTCATGTTTAATTTGTGTACTGCATAATATTTGTGTGATTATAAAAAAGGAATATTAAGAGTGTGTGTATATTAATTACTTTAAACTATTTAAAAATTGTTGTTAGTTGTTATAATGTGATTATATATATAGGGACAACATAATTTTTTATTCCTAGAGTTTTGGTCTTCCGTTAAGATGCTAAAGTGTTTTCGTTAATTAAGAAATATGTCCTTAAAGGTGATGCTTAACTTTGATCAATGTCTTGGAGATCATACATCACTTATTTACCAACGATGTTTGATAACAATAGAGAATTTGACCAAAATTGAATATAATTTTATACATGGATTTCTTAATAATAAAAAAAATACAGTAACCTAAAACGTTGACCTATATTGATCAAAACTCTAGAGATTAAAAAAAAACTGTTTTTCCTTATAAAATTCAAATACAAAATATATTAAAAGTCAAATTATCCATGAACCATGATTAAATTGACCCACCTCAAACTCCTTGCAAATCATTATTCATAATCTAGTTTGTAAAAAAAAAAAAAACTATGGGGAGGCAATTTAGTAACATTCGCCAAAAACAATTAGGAACGCAAGTGCGAGTGTGGCTTTCATAATTAATAGGTCCTACCATAAAACAAATGATAGAAAAAATAATTATAAGTTTAAAAATAAGGCTGACAAGAATATAATTTATTCTTTTTCTATTAAAAAGCCAGCTATTTAATTTTGCAATACAATAATTTTAAAAAATATGATAAATGTATGTCAAGTCTAACTTACGTTACGTAGTTGAACTAAAAATGTTACTCGTGTGACCATGTTTTCTTTATATCACATTAACTATTTTAGTTTATATAAATTAAAATTCAATTGACTTTAAGTTAAAGACATTACTTTATATTCCTTTGCGGGCACGAAACAAAACTCATTGAAGATGTTATTTAAAAAAATAAATTGATGGATTAGATCAAAAGGAGAAGACTATATTCTTGGATATTGCTTGCTTTTTTAATGGGACGGCCATAGACTATGTCATTCAAATTTTAGAAACTTTTGATGAGGATCTTCACCCAACAACTGGAATAGATGTTCTTACAGACAAATCACTAGTAATTGATTCAAAAGGATGTTTTTGGGTGCATCATATACTTCAAGATATGGGTAAATATATTGTCTCTCAAGAATCGCCTAATGATGCAGGCATGCGTTCTAGGATATTGTCTTTTAAGGATGCCAATGATGTATTAGAAGGAAATAAGGTAACATGCCTAAGTTTTGTGACTATACATGTACTCTTTATTTAATATTTTATCCCATCAATTGTATACATTATTAACTTGATCGACTTATTATTTACAGGGGACAAGAGAAATTCGGGGTATAGCTATAAACTTAGAAGAACCATTAAATGCACTTTGGGATCCTGAAGCCTTCTCAAGGATGATCAATCTCAAATTACTTGTCATTTCAAGCTGCTCACATGTTTCTCATTGCCAATTGAATCTTCCTCGTGGACTTAAATCTCTTTCCAATGAGTTGAGAGTTTTTGAATGGGATGGATATCCTTTAGGTTGTTTGCCCAATCAAACTATACTCCATGAACTTGTTCATCTAAAAATGAGACATAGCAAGTTAAAAGAACTTTGGAGGGGAGAACGGGTAATTATGATCCTTTTATTTGAATTGTTTATCCACAATTTAGTACATTTATTATTATAAGTAGTTTATCATTTTTAGGACTTATTATTTTCTCTGTTTTTTTTAGTCTCTACCAAGGCTGAAGTCCATTGATTTATCTCATTCAAAATACCTCATCAAAACTCCAAATTTTGATGGAATTCCTAATCTTGAGATATTGATTCTAGAAGGGTGTTCTAAACTGGTTGAAGTTCACCAGTCTCTTGGCCAGCATAAGAATCTTGTTATTGTTAATTTGAAAGGCTGTAAAAATGTTAGAACCCTTCCCAGAGAATTTGAGAAGGATCACTTAGAGACTTTTGTTCTATGTGGTTGTTCAAAAATTAGAAAACTTTCTGAGTTTGGAAAGGATATGAAATGTCTCTTTAGGCTTGATTTAAAGCACACTGCTATATCCAAACTACCTGAATCACTAGGCAATTTGATTGGTCTTGCTGAATTAAATTTGTCAGGCTGCAAAAATCAGGCTTGCCTTCTAAATAATGTTTGCAAAAATAAGATTATCACAATTTCTGGTTGGTCAAAGCTTTCAAGGATGCCAGAGGATTTGAATGAAAATGGGGCTTTGGAAGTGCTTGATGTGGGTCGTCGAATTTCTAAAGAGGCACAATCAATTTGTGAGTACAATGGTCAAGCACATTCTTCAACATCATGGAGTTGCTTCTCCCTTCTCAAGAAGGCATTTGGGCTTCAAAGGCCTTCAAGCTCAATAAATCTTTTCTTGTCCCCTTCTTTATCATGCTTGAGTGAATTAAATTTAGGTTATTGTAATCTCTATGATGGATCACTTCCTGATGACATTAGCAGCTTTACGTCATTGACAACATTAAATTTAAGTGGAAACAATTTCATTGACTAACCATCTGGCCTTATTTCCAATCTTTCGAAGCTTCAATGTATTGGTCTCCTTGATTGCCCAATGCTTAAGTCCTTACCACAACTGCCATCAAATCTATCATTTATTTGGGCAAGTGGTTGTCCATCAATGGAGCATTATGCACGTTCACAGAATATATGGGAGTTCCTTGAATCATTCCAATCTCAGGTTTATTTTATTTGTCTTCACTTGTTCTTTCACATTAACCATTATACTTCTTTAACATAGCCAATTTTTCCTTATAGGTTCACAATTACAATGGCCTCTCACTAGAAGAATGCTCTGGAGGATATAAACTTGTCCGTTTAAGTGCTGCGTCTGGAATTTTGACACGAGGTTCACAAATTGTGAGGTTTTTTTTTTTGAATTATTTGAATTTCTATTTTTCTGTTTTTTCCTGGACATTGAATATCGATATTTGACTTGTATATATTAATTTCATTTCTTAAACATTAATTATTATACTTCTAAGACAAACAATTCTTTTGTCGCAGCCTGACTTCTTCACGCAACCTAGTCGCGTATTAATAATTCTAGGGAGTGAAGTGCCATCATGGTTTCATAATCAAGACTACTTTTGTGAGAAAGAATTCAGTGATCCAAATGTGTCATTCATAGTAAGCACACCTGAATATTGTCGTTCAAGTGAATGGTGGGGCATAGCCACATGCTTAGTGTTAGAAAATGATTTGGCATATCACGAAAAGGTTGATCGAGTTTGGTGGACTTGCAGATTTCCTAATGATAAATTTCCAAATACATTTTTTTTATATCCCGTTTGGTTACTATCAAATTGGAGTCATCAACTCTATATTGCATATATTCATTGTTCATCTTTGGTTGTAAATGGACTTCAAATGGTATTTTCTACTGGAAATGTATCTGAAAATAAGTCCCCAATGTGTAAAGTAAGGAAGTGTGGGTGGCGTGTGGTGTGTCAAGAAGATGTTGAAACATGGAATGAATGTTGAAGCAGCATCAATGACCGATTCATGGTTAGCCCAAAATGCCAAGCCACCTAACAATGTGCATAAAATATAAGAACAAATGCTTCAAGGTACGTATGTCAAAAATTCTTATTTTAATGGAAAGTTTACATTTATATCATTCCTTGTTTGATGGCTATTTAAATATTTATTTAATGGATAAATTAATATACTCTTTCAATTCATATAAGTATTATATTTCCTTAATTTTGTGGTTTCATTGGCGTTGTTTGTTTATAGTATTGGATTTGTTTTCACATCTTACAAAATTTTTCTTATTTTTCGTGTGTTGTTTTTGTGGTACTTGTATGACATAACTTAGTTTCAACAGTCTATCAAATGCCAAATTTGATCTTATGTACAATCACGTGTTTAAAGGAGATGTAGGATTTGTGAAGGATATTAAAAAAAAAACTCAAAAATTTACATTTTAGGTTTCTTTGTAAAATGTCTCATATTAAGAAATATGAAAATTTTATAGATACTATATGGAAGGAGTATCATTTTACGGTGAATATTAAGTTAGTACTGTTTAAAACAAGAAAATGTGGTTGTTGGGCAGAGATGTCAAAAGATGGCAAAAAACCAGAGATAAAGTTGAGATTCATTCTAACAACTTAAACAATCGCAATAAAGTTGAGGATAAAGAAGGCTTTGGGAGTGGATCTCACATCTTTGGCATTCCATTGAGCAATTATTTCAGACTTGCTGTTAAGGTATATTAATATGCTTAGTGTCTGTTTCTAGGTACATGTTTTGTTTCTTTCTGTATAGTTGCTTAAATCTCTAATGTTTACTAAATCATTTTACAAAACCATAGCAGTTAGACCTCCAAAAAAGATGTTACACAGATAATATTTCCTTGATCGTGATATACTTCTTAAAAGTGTTTGAATTGAATATCATTCTTGTCATTGCTAACTCTCAATTCTTTTTATTTTTTGATAGGTTTCAAGCTAATTAAAGAGAAATAAGGAAGATAAATCTCTATTAACATATGAAATTAAAATCTATTTTCATAACATTAATAAGACAACATATAACTGATAGAAGAAAATAAAAAGAATAAACCTATCAAGATGATATAGAATAAGAATCTCGTTCTATATTTCGCTCAATAGCCACACTTAGAAAAATCTCTAAAGGGTTAAGTCTTAAAAATCTATTTTATTCATGATATGCCTACTTCTGAATACTAAGCATATTTATAATGCTAAATACTCCTAGAATAATGAATAAAATCTAGATAACTAGATAATTAATTAAAATTGAATAAAATCTCTTAAAATTTATATCTATATAAAATGCTAAATAAAATATAAAGAAATAAATATTTGAATAAAATCTAAATAACTAGATATCTGGATATATATATATATATCTAAATAAATATCTATATATCTATATAAAATCTAGATAACTAAATACCTAAATAAAATCTAAACAATATTGTTAAATAGAGAATATCTAAAATAAATTAAAAATAATATTTATTTATAATATCGATCTTCTCATATCATCCATTATCTCAAAACTCTATCATTTGGCACATTTTCTTACTAATAAATTTGTGATTATATATTAGGCTTATTTTAAGTACAAAACAACCTTTGATAGAAAACACACACACACAACTGCTACATATACATACCTCTCTATACAGAAGTTGATACTATAGCTGACTAATTTCTGCACGATTTTTTATTTTTGTAAAATTTGATATTTCTTAAACTTCCTTTATAGGTTATGTACACGAGTTAGAGGAATGGGAAATGTCCAGAGACATTAATCAAGAAGCAAGAGCTACATACAAGCTAAGAGCATATCTAGTTTTCTCTATTCTCCCATCCTTACATGGCCATGATGAGTAGTTAAAACCTTTTCATTGTCATTATTAAGAACCTTTGTATGAATTTGAGCATGTCCCTTACCCTTTCCGTTGCGATTTATAAGATATATGCTTCGTCAGTTGTTCATTTCAAGCCTTAATGTTGTTTGCCCGCCACACTAATGAAATTGATTTGTTGTTCTTTCGAATCTGAAAATGGTATTGGAAAATTAGATTTTGAATTGTACTGTGAAATTAGGAAACTTACGTAGTCATGTTTCGTGCTACATGTTTGTTCTATAGCTACATGTTCTGTTTCTTTTAGTGAGAATTTCTTGTTGCGTAACATATGAATGTGACATTTCCTAATGATGATGATTTGTTTCTTTTTTTGCCTTTAATTTGGGAATTTGCTTTCAAATAAAAATGCGTCTTACTCTGTTGACATTTATGTCTTCTTGAATCATTTGCAAAAGAGTGATGTTGATCAAGTTTTTGATGTGTTTGCGAAACTCTTGAAAATAGTACCAGATGATGAAGCTATCTTCTTAATGATAATATTTTTCCGATCTTGACATTATAGTTTTCTTTAATGTTGCTGCTTGATACTGAGTTTATCATGCCTTTATATTTATGAGTAGCTAAGCTTTTTCATGTGGATTATTAAGAACCTTTGTATGAATTTGAAGTTGTCTCCCTTTTTTTTTTTTTTTTTTTTACTCTTGCGATTTATGATAAGGTATATGCTAACTTAGTTCTCTGATTCATGCGTCATTGTTTTTGAGGCCAGCAACGAAATGAAACTGATTTGACTTCAATATGAAAAAGGTTAGTATCAATAAAAGCCGGTTATGAAATTAGATTGAGTGGTATTGGATATTTATATTGGTCATCTCAGATCTAGCAACATTTTGTTTTGCAATAACAATTTAAAATGTGTTGCCTAATGTGCGACCAAGTAATCATTTTTTGTATATTGCACTTCAGGCTGGTTGAGAAAAAGTGCTGATCTCATATTATAGATACCTTTGCAAATGTGTCCTCAATTAGCTTGTTCAAAAGCCCTTGACCTTGATATAGTTAGATTAATCATCAAATTTAAAGGAAGTTCTGTGAAAATTAAATCTGGAAAATCCAAGAAAAATGATAAAAATGACTGAAAAGTTGAAACAGTACTGGTCAAAACAGTTGAATTTGCAAATTTCAACCCCAACGTAACACCAAAATTCACACAAGTCTATGAAAATTAGAAACAATGCACGAAAATAGGGGAAACAGGTGAGAAAACGGGGAAGATGCACGGAAAATATATAAAAGTTAAAAACAAGGGAAATAAGTGGAATTTCAAACTAAGTAGATTCAAGTTAAAGTATATTTTTTCCTTTTGAATTATTCTCAGAGGAGTACTTAGAATCCTAAACTATTTTCATCATAGAAATTTTACCCATAAAGTAATTAAAGCATAGTAAAAAATGCTTTAACTTAGATTCACTTAATCTTGTAGGTGACATTTTCAGTCAAACTTAAGTCCTAGTAAACATTTTTAACTATTAACATTGGGGTATTTACTGTTCAAGGCATATATGTTATGTTTTTAATCATTTTAGGGATAAAATTGCTACGACAATAGTTTAAAACAATAGATGCTCCTTGAAAAATAGTTCATAAGTAAAAATACACTTTAACCTCAAATGTAATAATGTAAACTCAAAGTCTAAGTCATTGTTCAATGGTGTCCAAGATCACTAAGTAAACATAAATTCACCTCTAAAAGTTATAGTATCAATAAAATCTTGATTTAAATTGACAGTCCAAATATTTTCTCTAGTTTTATTTATTAGTTACTTCTAACATATTTGACCGGAACCAAGACAAATCTTAAACTTCATTAACTATTCTTAAATTTAATAAATTTTACTCTATCTCCTAATAAAGACAAAAGGAATTATTTTAATAATTTTTTCTTGTATTTAATAAAAATAATGAAGTGCTCTATAAATAAGACTAAAATTAATCTTTGAAGAGTACCAAGTAAGCATAAATTCACCTTAAAAAGTTTATAATATGAATAAAATCCTGATTTGAATTTCTGAAAATATCTTTTCTATGCTCTAGCGTCAGTTATCCAAATCTTCTAAGCCATCAATAAGGACGTGATATTCATATAAGCGTAACATTCTTGATAAAAATCAGTCCCAAAATAAAGAATTAGTGGTAATTAGATATTCAATAAATTTTTTGAAAAAATACATTGTAAATATTGATTTAAATAATTACAAATTCAGAAGTTCTAATTACATGTGAGATATATGAATTCAAAATGTAATACCTATTTTGTGGTTGAGATTCTTATTTATAACTACCTAAATCAATATATACAATTCTTTTTTTCAAAAATTTTATTAAAAATCTAAGTATCATTATTTTTTTTGAAACTTTACTGTCATTCTCCACTATAAAAGCCTTGTGATGTAAGGTATGTATTTGAGTCTAACATTATTTAAATCATGTCAGTGTTATATAAAGACATTTATCCAAAAAAAAAAAAATCTATAGAATTAGAGATAGATGGATAGCAATCTCAAGTGTGTGAACCATTTTGCTTTGTCCCTTTCCAAACTGAAAGTTATGCCATGAGGGACACAGTGATGCGCAAAATAACAAATAAATCCTGTCAAAATAAATAAATGATAAATAAGTACTTCAAAATATGATAATTATTTTAAAATTTTTAGTAATTTATTTGATATTTTTTTTGTAATTAATAAATAAATTTTAAAAATCATTTTTGTTAATATTTAAATTGAAGTTTTTAATATTAAAGATGAAGTTATTAATATATATAAAGTATATTAGTTGTTAGTTTAGTTATGCAAATAATAAGTATGTTTCCTATATTAATAACTTGGGTTTAGTTAATAACAATTTCGATTTAAGTGTTAACAACATAGTTGATCATAATTTTAATTTAGTCATGTAATAATAATTTAGTTTAACCGTACATTTTCTATTATTTTGTAGAAAGTTTGAAACATAACTTATGTTACAAAAATTCCTACATCAGACAAATTATCTCATTTCAATATATTATTTTATTATTTATCTATTTATTTACATCATTTTGCCAAAGTTACATCGGCGTCTCTAGTTAAAAAACCAAATAAAGCACTGACATATTAGTGTCCCATGGTGCGGTGCCCTCCTTTTGCAAAAAGCAAGACTATATGTCCGTGACACACTTTGATGTTTTTTTTTTTTTAAGAATTACATTGAGATCCCAACAAGTAACAGTTATCTATGAATTTTAAGTAATTAATTTTTTTTGTATGAAATCTGATTATAATTTCCCCCCCCCCCCTTTTTTTCCCCTTTAACCAGCTAACACGGTTTGATATTTGAAAGTTGAAACCGATTACAACGCTCAAGGGGGGGAAAACACAAACACAAAACAAACCAACGGGAGGCAACCAAACTCCAAATATTAATTTCCAAGCAAATTCAGGACCACCATTTTCAAGTAATTTTCTCATTGTTGAGTTTCTTCTTAAATAACAGCCATTTCTTTTTTTTTTAAAAAAAAGATAGAAAGTTCAAAGATAATTTTACCTTTTTGCAATAAATTTTAGGTAAAAGGGCAAAAATACCTATAAAGTGGTTAGCCATGGACACTTAGTATCCTAAAGTGAGGAAAATCGTAAAAATAGTCATAATGTTTCATGGAAGGGTGCAAAAGTAATCAAACTGTTAACTTTGACATAACGTCATTAATTTTGATCACTAAATACTGACTGTGCATGTCACGTGTCAGTTTTTACAAATGTGGACTAATAAAGGGACAAAAATACCTATAAAGTCATCATTTGGGAGCAAAAATACCTACAAAGTCATTTGTCAGCAGCAAAAATACCCATAACATTATCAGAGTTGGTGCAAAAGTGACTAATTCATCAAATCCTTTAATGTTCACCATTTGGTTGACATCTAAGCAGAAGTTGACCATTTTTTTCACTGACATGGATAAATTTTTTTTCTAAATGTAATTCTTTGGAGGTTAATCAATCAGTATATGAATATTATGGGAGAAAATGTCATTTTTGATCGAATATCAAATTAAATCTCTTGTTTCGTTGCAATAGTGGCGAAAACCATTTAAAAATTTTGAACCTATCATGAATGAAATTACCTAAGGTTGTGACAATGTTCTTAAGCTAGATGCGCTCAGTTTTAATCTTTAATTGTGTACAACCTATCTTACTATGTTGAATCTCAAATTTGTAGACAAGAAAAATGAGTAGAGAGGGAGGAAAAAAGGGGCTAGGGTGAGATACATGATGATGGAAAGAAACGATATGCCATTGATTTTGATAGATTGGTCACTATTATAACATTATAAGTACTCATATGATGATTGATCAACATCCACAAAATTCATCTGGGAATATTTTTTGTCTACATCAGTAAAAATATAGTCAAATTCTGCATAGGTGTCAACTAAAATGGTCAACATTTTAGGGATTTGATAGATTAGTCACTTTTGCATCAACTCTGGCAACGTTGTGGATATTTTTGCTCCTGGCTCATGACTTCATGGGTATTTTTACCCTTTTATTAGTCCACGTTAACAAAGACTGACACATGACATGTACAGTTAGCATTTAACGTCAAAGTTAATGGTGTTAGGTCAAAGTTAACGGTTTGGTCACTTTTGCATTCATCCTGTAATTTTATAGATATTTTTAACCTTTTCCTCACTTTAAAATACTGAATTCTCCTAGCTGACCACTTTGTGGGTATTTTTGCCTCTTTACCCATAATTTTATTCATGTTAATGTTCCTTGGTCCAATAAAGCAAATTCAAATTCTTTTTTCCCTTTTGGTAATAAACGTCCTCAAACGTGCTAAAATATGATTTTCCTTAATTTCTAATTAAATCAAGACATATATTTTTCATTCATAATTTATCTGTCAACTAACTTTTGTTAATAACATTATATTTATAACAATTTGAAAATTTCAAAATCAAATTATACTAATTTAATTGAAAAACAAAATGTATTAAATATATTTAATTAATTACCTATGTCCTATGTCTTTTAATTTCCAATCAATTTCAGGGCCAACGCTTCCAAGAAATTTCTCAAAGTTAAGTGGTTTGACAATTCGGAGCATTTCTTTGCAGTTTCCAATTAAATTCAAGGTTGCGTGCATAGAGGGCAACATAAAGTAAATAGACTTCTCTTGATGTTTTTTCATTCCAAGTCTTCCCCCTGTTTCACACACACAATTAAAAAAATCTTAAAATATGTTTACAATATGTATTGTTTTTAATGTCCAAGTGTAGAAATCAATGTTCTTTTTGTATTATACTCAATATTTTCTTGTGAGTTCTAAACTAAGATAATTTTCCAAATTTTGGTACTTGCTATTGTCTCTTATTTATTTTTTATGTTATTTATTATTGAAAACAGTGTTTTTACTAATTTTTTTTATTTATAATCAATGTTCTTATTTATTTTTTTATGTTATTTCCAAATTTTTTATTACCACAAAAAAGTGAGAGATTTTATTCCAAGCCTTTTGGTCTTTTTCTCACACGTTACAGGTCCAATAAAAATCTTATCTTAGTTTTCTAAAAGATAAAACTCGTAGCAGTTCGATAAAATTTACTTTTAAATTTATTAGATATAATCACAAATAACTCCTTTGATACAATGATATAAAAAATTAATCATGATTAAAAATGAAGGGAAGGATGATTAAAAAAATTGAAGAGACCCCTTCCCCCCCCCCCCCTTTTTTTTTTCTTTTTGGGAGTCTCGTCCATAAGTCCATTCCTCTGTTTTTTTTTTTTTTTTGGGTACAATTCCATTTCTCTGATTTTAGATGCCGTAGAAATTTGAAATAGGAGAGAGAACAAAATTTCTTCCTTCTATCAAGTAGGGGAAACAACCGAACAAGATTCATTTTTTTCATGCCATTTTTTGTTCTCATGCTTTCATGCACAGTTTCTCATTCTCTGATTTATATTGGCAGATATCATTTTATTTTATCATGCATTTCTTTTTCTTCTGGGTGAAAATTGAAAATTGTCCAATTTTAATGCTATCCGTTTCTTTTCTTTTTCTTTTTCTTTTTTTCAACAATATTAGCCATTTTTTGTTTATATATGAATAAATAAAAGTGATAAAACATAATTAGCTTGTTAAAAAAATAAATAAAAAGTAAGTCATCTTTTCTTTCTACGTTTATATTGAAAAAGCGCTGCCTTCCAATCGCAAAATTGCTCCAAATGAATAACATCGCAGCTAATAAAATATAAAATTATAAATAAATAAGTCTTGGAAATTGAAAAACAGCAACGCGGTTTTTTTTTTTTTTTTTGGCCCAACAGCAGCAACGCGGTTTGAACGCGTGAAGAGTATACTTGAGCTGACTCCAAATGCTTCATTTCTCAAATCCATAAATTTGTAGTACCTAACTGGGTTTTATCTTCTGAATCAGGAGGCACATCAAATAAATTCTCACTACTACTTCATTCATCAGGTTCCTATTTTCTTCCTTCTAATTATTTTATGTCCATTTTCTATCTGTAAAATTTTCATTTGAAATGTCGAAAGAAGGGAGAGACTATATATATATCTATATATATATAAACACAATTTCTTCCACTTCACTTTGATATCTACCTGAAGAGTGTGAATCTTGCCTCTTTAAGTTTCTATTATTCAGTGAAATGGATTTAGTTCTTCAAGCATTAATTTTTTGATTATGCTTTCTTTGAATCCGCCTAGAGCAGAAGTTTTGTATAAAAATTTTTCTCTGAAATATTAATAGACGATAAGGAATATAGACATACCACTTCATTCGTTTATGCTTGCTAATTCTCTTAGATCCCTCTTTACTGTCTTTGAAATTTTGCTTTGTGATCATGAATTTGAATGTGATTGAAGTTCACATTCTATCTACATGTTAGTGCTCATCATGGTGATGAGATCTAGGCCATCTATATTTTAATATGGATGGTCTAAATTTAAAATTTTTATTTCATATTTATAAAAATAAAGATTAGAAAGATTTTAACAAATCTATTAATCTAGATAGTACATATTTAATTTTGATGATCCAATTTATATTAAAAGTTATTATATTTTTTCATAAATTGACTATTTATCTGTATTTTGGACCTTCTAGATTTAATATTAATTTTTTTGAATTTTTATAAATGTTTAATTTGTTTAATATAATATTAAAAATAAAGATAATCTCCAAATTGTTACTTTAAAAAATATTTTTAAGAAAAAATTTCATGTTAAAAATTTTAAATCCAAACCATCTATTCAAAATATATCTAGATAGTTAATTTATAAAAATTCTAAAACTTGAGCTATTAATAAATTGGACCATTAAAACTAAATTTATATTGTCTAGATGGGTCACAAAGTACATTTGTTACTCACTTTGGTGAGCATCGTGTTAGATTTCTTATATTAAGTGTACTTAAAGATAATATACTCCATCAAAATAGTTTAAGCTATTTGGTTAGATACTTTCTAAACTTATATAGTTATTATTTATCTTCTAATCTTCAGATGTGAGATTTTTTTATCTTCTAATATTCTCTCAACTGCTTTTTTATTCTCTTTTTTTTTTATTTCTTCTTCTTGTGTAGGCTTGTACTTTTTTTAGTCTCAGAATCCATAGATCTATTCAATTTCTTCTTCTCCTCTCTTTCTTTTTTTTTTTTAATCTCTTGCTTTTTTCACCTTTCATTCTTTCATTTTTTTTCTTTCTTTCCCTCTTTTTTTTTTTTTTTTTTGTCCCTAATTGAGGGCCTCATGATACTATGTTACATTTCTTATATTAAATGTGCTTAAGATAGTATACTCTACCAAAATAGCTTAAGCAATTTGGTTAGATATTTCCTAAACTTATATATTTATCATCTATCCTCTAATATTTAGATGTGAGACTTCTTTTATCTTCTAATACATTGGACACTTATATATTTTGATCTAATAAACTAGTCCATCAGCTGAGGGACCAAGTCTGGTCTAGACTGTGGTGAACTCTGAACAACGTAGCTTTTGTTTTTGTTTGATAAATTTGTGTAAAATATGTCATTCTTCACTTCCCAATATTGATTTCTTCATTTCTGCCCTATCTACTATCCTAGACAATATCGCTGTATGAAGTATTGACATGTGTGAAGTAATCTATCTGACAGCCTTGTTTTGAAATACAATCAGAAACAAAAGATCGTTGTACATAAATTACTTCACTATTCTACTTCTGATTGATTTCTACATTATTTGTTAAGTTTCACTCTATTATACACATCTAATGGTGATGGATGTATTTGTAATTTGCATGATTCAGCTCTCAAACTGTTGTTATGGCACTTAAAGCTCATGGAGTTGACCACCCTTCAAGCTCTTTTGGTTCGGCTAGGAGATGGAAATATCATGTCTTCTTGAGTTTTCGAGGAGAAGACACTCGTAGAAGCTTTACAAATCACTTGCATTGTGCTTTACAACGCAATGGAATTATAGCTGTCAAGGATGACGAAGAACTTGAGAGGGGACAAGTTATTACACCAAGTTTGCTCCGAGCAATTGAAGAATCTCTTTCCGCAATTGTTGTTCTCTCTCCAAATTATGCTTCTTCAACTTGGTGCCTGGATGAGTTCTCAAAGATTCTCCATTCTAAGAAAGAGTCAGGTCTTTATGTATTTCCAATATTTTATGGTGTGGATCCATCTTATGTTGAACATCAGAGGGGAAGTTTTGCAGAAGCATTTAAAAAGCATGAAGAAATATTTACACGAGATAAAATGAAGGTGCAAAATTGGAGGGATGATTTAAAAGAAGTTGCTAACTTATCTGGCTGACACTCTAACAATTGGTAATTTCTTATATTTCCAATAATCATCATGAATAATTTTTAAATAATATTAATGGTGTTGATATTAATTATTTTAAACTATTTAAAAATTGTTGTTAGCTATTATAATATAATTATATATATAGGGACAACATAGTTTTTTGTTTCTAGAGTTCTGGTCTTTCGTTAAGATCCTAAATTTTTTTTATTAATTAAGAAATAAGTCCTTAAAGTTATGGTTAACTTTGGTCAGTGTCTTGGGAGATCATATATATATATATATATATATATCACTTCAGCAGCAGCAGTAGTAAAAACTATAGTAACCTTGACCTATATTGACCACAACTCTAGAGATTAAAAAAAAAAACGGTTTTCCCTTATATAAAATTCAAATCCAAAATCTATGAAAAGTTAAATTATCTATGAACCATGATTAAATTGACTCACCTCACACTCCTTGCAAATCACTTTACGTAATCTAGTTTTTAAGGAAATTATGGGGAGGCAATTTAGTAACATTCACCACAAATAATTAGGAACCCAAGTTTGAATGTAGCTTTCATAATTGATAGGTCCTATCATAAAACAAATAAGAGGAAAAATAATTGTAAGTTTAAAAAAAAGGCTGACAAGAATATAATTTATTCTTTTTCTATCACAAACCTGACTATTTAATATTGCATTACAATAATTTCAAAAACTATGATAAACGTATGTCAAGGTTAACTTATGTTACATAGTTGAACTAAAATTAATTATACCCGTGTGACCATGTTTTCTTTATGTTATGTTGACCATTTTAATCTATATATAAATTAAAATTCAGTTGACTTAATGTCAATGATATTACTTTATATTTATTTGCAGTCATGAAGCAAAACTCATTGAAACCATTATTGAAAAAGTGTGGTCAAAAATATATGATGAACTTCCATTTGACTCTGAGAAATTGGTTGGAATTGAATCAAAACTTGTCAACTTAAACTCACTGATAGTTAATGGATTGGGTGAAGTTCAATTTATAGGAATATGGGGCATAGGTGGTTTAGGTAAAACTACTCTTGCAAGAGCTTTCTATAAGAGAATGTAAAAAGATTTTGAAGCTCATTGATTTCTTCTTAATGTTAGAGAGGTATAAGAAGCCGAAGGTTTGATTCCCTTGAAAAAAAAAAAAAAACTTCTTTGTTCTTTGTATAAAAGAAGCATGGATGTGGATGACTATTATGAAGGAAGGAAGTTGATAAAAAGCATGTTAAGCAATAGGAAAATGCTTCTTGTCCTTGATGATGTAAGTGATATAAGCCAATGTGAAAATTTGGCTGGAAATCAAGGATGGTTTGGCAAAGGGACCTTAATAATAATGACAACTAGAGACAAGCATTTGTTATTATCGCATGGTGTATCTACTTGTTATGACATCAAATTCTTGACTGATGATAAATCTCTTGAACTTTTCCATCAAAATGCTTTTAAAGGAAGTAAGCCAAGTAAAGCTTTTTTAGAGCTTTCTAGAACTGTGATTCAATATGCTAGTGGCCTTCCTTTGGCACTCAAAGTGTTGGGTTCTTTTTCTTTTTGTTTTTTTTTGTGTGGAAGAACTATAGAGAAATGGAAGGATGCGCTTGCTAAGTTGAAGAAGGTTCCTCCAAATAACATTTTGAAGATACTTAAGGTAAGTTTTCATGAATTAGATCATTGGAAAAGACTATATTCTTGCATATTGCTTGCTTTTTCAATGGGATAGCCAAAGGCCCTCGCATTCAAATTTTAGAAATTTTGGATGAGGATCTTCACCCAACAATTGGAATAGATGTTCTTATTGACAAATCACTAGTAAACAATTCAGAAGGGTATTTGTGGGTGCACCAGATACTTCGAGATATGGGTAAATATATAGTCTCTCAAGCATCACTTGATGATGCTGGCAAGCATTCTAGGATATTGTCTTTGAAGGATGCCAATGATGTATTAGAAGGAAATAAGGTAATAGCCCTAAGTTTTGTGACTATTCAAGCATTCTTTATTTAATATTTTATTCCATCAATTGTGTACATTATTAACTTGATTGACTTATTATTTATAGGGGACAGGAGGGGTATAGCCATAATAGTAGAAGAAACATTTAATGCACTTTGGAATCCTGACGCCTTCTCAAGGATGATCAATCTCAAATTACTTGTCATTTCAAGCTGCTCACATATTTCTCATTGTCAATGGAATCTTTCATGTGGAATTAAGTCCCTTCCCAATGTGTTAAAGGTCTTGGCATGGGATGGGTATCCTTTAAATTATTTGTCCAATCAAACAAAACTCCATGAACTTCTTGTTCTAAAAATGCAACATAGCAAGTTAAAAGAACTTTGAAGGGAGTGTTAACCTCTAGAAGTTCATGTTATCTCATCAAATTTTCCTTATATTCTAATCCATTTTGGTTCAATTGTATATGTTTTGATTTCCCAAATTAGGAAAATGTGCATTTTGTTTTGGGTTTACATTCTTGGTTTTAATTTGATATTTTTAGCCTAATTTTCATGTTATTTTGATTGAAGTTTTGAATAGAAGCATTTTTAGAGCTTTATGGATGTTTTTGAAAGGCTTTTGGATGAAGAAATCAAGAACAAAATGAATGATTTTTGTTAGCTATAAAAATAGTGCAAAACTGCTAAAGTCGTCCCAAAGTCATGACTTTCGTTCTCGACTTTCGCCGCTGTCAGAAAAACGCTACGGTTCATTTATCAGAAATTAGTTAGCTAGGATACATATAAGCTAAAAGTAGAATGAATTCTTCAGACTTTTAGACACTTTTAGAGCTTGGTTGTGCTAGGGTTTGGGCATTGGAAGAGTTGGGATCAAGAGATTAAAACTTTGAAGACATTTAGAGCTCTTCTTCTTTGGTTTTTCTATTCCTCTTCCCTTTCCTACCTTATAATCTAAAATGGGTCTACTTATTTTGTATATTTATAGCTTGTGGATGATTATTAAGTAGCTAAACCCTTTGTTCTAGAATTATTTGAAACCCTTGTATGGATTAACACTATATTTCTCCTCTCTCTTTGTGATTAATGATATATATGTGTTTATTTTACTCTTTCCTTAATACTTCTAAGTGATTGGCCGCCATTTAGATGTTGGGTTCACTTAATTGATGCTTGAGAGAGCCAGGTTAAGTGTAGAACTTAGATAAAATTGTGTAAGAACTTGATATATGCATGTTTAATGGATGGTTTTGCTAGTAAGATAGAGATATACTTGCTAGCCTTACATAGCCACATTAGGGTTGGTGTTTAAAATTTGAGTTTTATTAATTGTAACAAGAGATTAAGCAATTAATTTAACTAAACACTTGTTCATGACTTGAGAGAGCTTGTCCAAGTATTTTTAGAACTCTAGGTTAGCACTTATTTTCATTAAAAGCATTTATGAGAGGAGGTAATTTGGTGTTATGAAATGCAAGGGGGATAAATAATCCTAGGTCCTAAATTGTGTTAGAAATTTGTGAATCACTCACTTTTCTTTATTTTCTAGTGTTAGCTTCATAAGCAAAATTATTTTCACCTAACTTTGTGTAGCTCAACTTGATCAAATTTGCTTTGTCTTTTGTTTGATTATAGTTTTTAAACAAATCTTTGAGGGAATGATACTTTACTCATTTTATATTACTTGCTACGACCCATGCACTTGCGGTGAGCAACAGGGTGCATGGGTAATTATGATCCTTTCATTTAAATTGTTTGTCCTTAATTTAACAAATTTTTTATTATAAGTAGTTTGTCATTTTTTAGGACTTATTAGTTTCTTTTTTCTCTTTTCAGTCTCTGCCAAGGTTGAAGTCCATTGATTTATCTCATTCAAAATTCCTCATCAAAACTCTAGATTTTTTATAAATTCCTAATCTTGAGATATTGATTCTAGAAGGGTGTTCTCAACTGGTTGAAGTTCACCAGTCTCTTGGGCAACATAATTTGAAAGGCTGCAAAAAAGTTAGAACCCTTCCAAGAAAATTTGAGATGGATTGCTTAAAGATTTTTGTTCTATCTGGTTGTTCGAAAATTAGAAAACTTCCTGAGTTTGAAAAGGATGTGAAATGTCTCTCTACACTTGATTTAGAGAACACTGCTATATCCAAATTGCCTGAATCATTGGGCAATTTGATTGGTCGCACAAATCTTGTTTGCCCACCAAATAATGTTCATAAATTCATAGCCAGGAAGATTATCAAAATTTCTGGTTGGTCAAACCTTTCAAGGATGCCAGAGGATTTGAATGAAAATGGGACTTTGGAAGTGCTTCATGTGGGTTGAATTTCTTCATCATCATGGAGTTGTGTGTCCCTTCTCAGGAAGTCATTTGGGCTTCAAAGGCCTTTAAGCTCAACAAATTTTATGGTACCCATTTCTTTATCATTCTTGAGCCAATTAAATTTAGGTTATTGCAAACTTCATGATGGATCACTTCCACATGACATAAGCATGTTATCATCATTGACACATTTAATTTTAAGTGGAAACAATTTCATTGACTTACCATCTCGCCTCATTTCCAATATTTCCAAGCTTCTATTTTTTGATATTGTTAATTGCCCTACATTGCGGTCCTTGCCACAACTTCCGTCAAATCTATCAACCATTCTCACAAGCAGTTGTCCATCAGTGGAGCATTACATGTGTTCGCGGAAACTATGGGAGTTCATTGAATCATTCCAATCTCAGGTTTATTGTGTTTGTCTTGTTCTTTCACATTAATCATTATACTTCGTTATAGCCATTTTTCCCTTATGTATAGGTTGTCAATTTCAGCAACGGCTTTATAGCTTGTTATGAAGAACATAAACCTGTCATTTTATTTCAGGAGTATGGAATCCTTACACAAGATTTACAAATTGTGAGCATTTTCTATTTTTTAAATTACTTGAATTTTTTTTTTCTTTGTTTTTTTTTTCCCTGGACAATGAATCTCTATACATTTGTCTTGCATATATTTTCCATTTCTTACATTTTAATTATT